GATGGAGGCTGTCTATCAGCTGCGGGGAATAAAGGAAGCAGTGGCCCTGGAGCTGCACCTTCTCTTTGTTACGTGCAGACTGAACTACTGCAATTCTTTGTACTTTGGTCTGTACTTTGGTCTGGACCAGGCCTCTCTTTATGTCTCCAGCTGGTCGTCTGCTAACTGGCACTAAACGTTAGGAGCATGTAACCCCAGTTTTAGCGTCTCCACACTGGCTCCCTGTTCCTTACAGGATCCAATTTAAAGTTGTACTTTTCGTTTTTAAGGTGCGTAACGGCTGAGCCCCTTTATGCTCCAGAGAAAACCATGAGGTCCAGTTAAAACCAACTTATCCACGGACTAAGCTTCTCATCGTGACAGAGCCTTCTCTGTGGCAGGTCCAGGACTTTGGAATAGTCTTCCCTTAAATATTAGATGTGCACAAACACTTGATCAATTTAACTCGCTACTGAAGACACATTTTATGGTCTGGCTTTAACCACTTTAACCCAAACATTTTGGTTTTAACAGCCTTAGTTGTTGTTTTAATTGTTTTTAATGACTTATTTATTTATTTTTTCTATATTTTACTGCATCATTGTTTTACATTTTATTTGTTTTAGTGGTATTTTACATTGTTAAGCTCTTTGCGCAGCACTGACTGTTTGGAAATGTGCAGTATAAATAAACTTGACCTTGTGGAGGTGTAACACCAGCAGGTGGCAGCAGCAGCTCATTGTGTTGGCAGGAGCTGGTTAAAAAACATCAACTTAAATGTGTTTTTCAGTCTCATGTTGACGGCTGCTGGTGGTTCACTGCCCCTCCTGCTCCAGCACCGCTCAGATGTGTCGTTTTATTCTTTTGAATATTTGTAATCTGTTGATGGAAGTTTTTAAATGACCTCAGGATTTTGCTCTGCAGATGTCTGCAGGCAAAGAGAGAGTCTGTGCTCGCAGTAAAGACCTGAGCACGTTTGTATCAGTGTACAGATGCTCTGCAGTGTTCACGTCTGCCCAGTGTAATCTGTAAGTGTGTGTGTGCGATGGTGTACCTCGTCCGTCTCGGCGGTGCGGCGTGTCGACCACACAAACTCCATGATGGCCACGAAGACGGCAATGATGAGGCCGCAAATCAGAACCACGAAGATCCCGCCGATATTCTCCATGCCGAGCCCTGAAACGCAGCGACACATCACAGATCGATTCACCTACACCAGCCTGAGGACTGTTTCCAAACACAGCGTGCTCTCCATCAGCAACAACAGGCCAGGCTTAAAACAACTGATATTTTATGCCATTTAACCTGTTTGATGGCATAAAATGTGGAGTTGTTGGCGTGAGACGCCTCAGAAGGAGGAGACAAATACACAATAACAGCGAAGGCGGAGGACAAAGTCATTTGTTATTTTGTTATATCAATGAGGAAAAGACAGGCGGCACAGGAAAGGAGACGCCCGATAAAAACTTCCTGTTTACGTGTCATCGTGGTAAGGCTTCACTGACATGAGCGAGGAGCACGGTTGTGTCCTAGGCAGGAATCTTTCCATCAAACAGAAACAGGAAATGATGTTTTTACGTTAAATGATCACGTTACGATGACACTGACCTTTGGCCCTGTGGTCCTCCTCTTTGGGGCACTGTCCTCCCTCCCACCAGCGTCTCTTCAGGATCTCCAGCCTGTTGCTCTCCTGCAGCTGCAGTATTCCCAGAGTGATCTCGTCTCTATACGGAGAGCCTGACGAGGAGCAGAAGTCATATTCAGCATCTAAAGACACACATGAAACTACTCAACCTGGGCTAAATGACACTATACGAGCCTTACGATGTGTCTGCCGTCGATCTGAAAGGAGGTGGAAGAAAGGTAGGCTTCAGATGTCCTACGACATCCTTTGTAGGAGCCGCTCTCTAGACCAGAACTCTGTTCAGGCAGCTCAAGCAGCTTTCCTGTCAGATATTACTGATACTAACAGCCACAACCCCCGAATGTTATTCAAAATGTTTAACTCCGTGATAAATGCCTGTCCTGGATCGTCGAGCTCGGCCTCTCAGGCTCTCTGTGAGCAATTTCTTAATCATTTTAGTGGAAAAGTTTTATTACTGAAGGCTTCACACTCTCGTGTGTTGAATCCTGTTCTGGTTTTAGGGTGCATGTCCACCTTTTCTCACTTTGAGAACCCTTGGGCTCCATATTTGAAAAATACAACATTTCTTATCCACTCTTTTGTGACGTCCAGGTTAGACTATTGCAATTCTCTCTACTGTGGTCTCCAATCCATCTCTATTTGAAAGCTGCAGCTCGTTCAAAATGCTGCAGCTCGCCTTCTTACTGGAGCTAGAAAATTTGCTCCTATCACTCCGGCTCTTGTTGATCTACACTGGTTACCAATCAAATATCGCATTGAGTTTAAAGTTTTGCTACTCACTTTTAAAATCCTGAATAATATTGCGCCCAGTTACCTCACTGACCTCCTCAAGCTGCACACTCCTTGTCGTACATTAAGATCACCAACCTAAGTTTAGACTGAAGACCAGAGGCCACCCTTTGCTTCAGCTGCACCCAACCTTTGCAGCCTCCCTGCTTCTATTCGAGCCTCGGACTCTATCCAGTCCTTTAAATCCAGATTGAAAGCATACTTATTTAACCTGGCTGTCCTGACCAGTTAACACCCTTTTTACACTTTTTATCAAATGTATTATTTTATTATTAATTTTCACTGCAGTTTTTATCTTCTTAGTAGATATTTCGCACTCACGATTGACCTTCCCTCTGTGTTGAGGTTTGATGCCTATTTTATTTAGCTCTTCTGTTCTATTAATGCCTCCATCCTGTCTGTTAGTGCCCGATCTGTACTCTGTTATTGACTTATGTTGTTTCTCCGTATTACTGCGAAGCCTTCGGGATTTTAAATGTGCTATATAAATAAAACTGTATTGTATTGTACTTCCGAACAGGAAGTAGTTTCCTTCAGATGCACTCCTGGACACAGCCTGTATGCCATCACAGACGTACAGTTCACTGCAGTTTTATTTATAAAGCATCAAATCCTACCAACGGTCACCTCGGTGCTTTGAGGCACCACCAGAAACAATCGGACGACCGCCAACAGGCGTGTTTGTGAGCAGACTCAGACTGAGCTCACCCAATCTGATGCTGGATAAACGTGAGCTAAACCTTGGATCAAACCACCAACCCAAGACCGATCTAAGCCTCTGTCTGCCTGACACACACACCAGCTGTGGCCCTGAGTCCACTTTCAGCTTCCAGGCGTGTGATGTCTAACACTGTCCTGCACTGGTGAACTTTCAGAGCCTGCACAGATGATCAGAAGAGCCTGTGGATGGATGAAACTTTTTATGGGTTTATCTTGTTTATCGAATCATGTTTGCATGACCACACAAGACGAGGTCATCGTTCTGCACCACTTTCAGCGTCTGTGGATTTCTGTTTCACGTCTGTGGGAACCAACCAGGCTGCACATAGCTGCACTCGGTGTCGCGGCGTCCTGATGCACTAAACTGGCTTTGAAGACGAGCTGCCGGCTGGTGTTCCTCTTTCAAAGGCAGCGAGACAAATCCAATCTTAGGTGGGCTGTGAATGAAAACAGAGGGCTGGTGCTAATGGCGGAGCTCACCTGCTCACCTGTTATCAGGTAAACGTGCTGATGTGGAGGCGGCGGCGCGCTCTGCGGGGTTTTTAACATGTTCTCATAAACAGCGACACAACGACAACGCGAGCAGTTGCACCTTTTATACAAATCGCCGCTGCTGTCCGCAGTCTCGTTTCCACCGGAGCTCCAGATGTGTTGGAGGCAGCGGGCGGCGACACCGGAGCTCTGGACGGGACCCTGAGGCACGATGTAATCCCCTAATCTCTCCAGACTGCAGGTTGTTTACTGAACAGACTCACGTTCAATCCTCAGTAAAGATTTATTGACAGCTTGCAGGCTGACACTTATCAGCAGACACACACTAACTGAACCCTCCACACCGTCACTTCTGCTGTTTCTGCAGCCGTGGGTCAGCAGAGGTGGCTTTGATTGGCTTTAGGGACAATAGGCAAAGCATAGGCTGTAAACACAAGATGGACACAGCCTCTTTGACAGCTCTCACTACTTTGTTTTTCAGCTCGGTGCTCTACGCATTTGCTCTGATCCTCCTGCAGTTTTTTGCAGGTTGCAGGTTGGTGAAACTCTAAGCCGTCTCTGAGATACTCGTTTTATACTGGATCGTGTGATGGACCTGCTGTCAAATAACCTGATCAGCTGCTAATGTATTTACTCTGTTCCTTGTCGTGGTGACGGGGGAACCCGACCGAGCCCTGCAGCCACGCCACCACAGCATTTTGGGTCTCTAGGGTCTCCCGGGCAAACAGCAGGGGCAGATTCAATCGAAATCCACAGACTGTGGGTGTGGAGCTCACCAATCCGGTCACATTTAACTGTGTCATGGTTCATCTGACACTTTAAACCTGCCCTGAGGCAAGAGATTGTTTGTTTTCATCATCAAACAAAAGGCAATAATTTAATAACAACAATAAACAGCTGCACTGGCACATGTTAATCTGTTTTTAAACTACAGCAGCCCAGTTCTACAGCAGTGTAATTTTTGACCACTGGATGGCAGTAGAGGCTTCTGTATGTTAGTCAATCCACAGTAGAGTGTCAGCAGTACCCCGCCTAAACAAAATCCACTCAGAGACAGAACTGGGCTGTGTCCCAATTAAGAGACCGCACGCTTGAAGAACGCATTTTGAGTGCGATTACGTCACCGCCACACGACGACGGCTGTCCCAATTCGAAGTGTACTCCAAATGCGCCGTCGATTTCCCCAAATATCAAGTGTGGTCCGGTGCACGCTTCGTGGTCCCATATATCCCACAATTCATAGTGCGGCGGTGGGTGTGGATAATTTTGCTCCAAAAGACGGCAGAAGGGAGCGGCCGAAGACTGAACTGTCAGAAGTAAGTACTGAATACGATGTCACTTGAAGAACATTAAATAATTGCTGTTGGCCACATGTCAGCAAAGTTATGTGACGTTAGTGATGTTTGTACTTCCAGTGTTCACTTGGTTTTAAAGCCTTTAAATATACGCCGTTCAATAGTCGACCTTTAATCTGACAGAGAATGTGATGATTTTGTGGATAATTAAAGTCAGTCATATATCCACAAACACAACAAGCTGAAAGTCAGTGATGCTGCTCGGTTTGCAGTCCTGAACATCACGGCACCAGCAGGATTCACTGCACTGTTAATGTTAGCTGTGTTATATTGCTGCCTCTGTTCGGTGGTGTCGAGCCAAACGCACTTTAACGTGTGTTTGAACGAGCTGACGGTTCACTCGTTAAGCTGAAAGAAAGATGCTTTAATCACAGCAGTCACACATGTGTCCACTGCACCATCTGGAACTCTTCTTGTTTACACTCGTAATAACACAAACACTAAATCCTCCTGTTTGTAGCAGTGTGTACACCTGAGACTGTCACCTGTCTGTCTGTCCTGCACTCTCTCTCTGTTTCTTTCTCTCTGATTGTGGAATAAAAGTATGAACATGTGTTTATAAGTCAGGATATATATATATATATACAGGATCAAAGGGTTTGTTTCTCTCGCCCAAACCAATGATCAATGTTTAAAGTTCGCTATTAAATATTTAAATCATATCAGATATAATTTATATAATCTGTCCCATCCGCCTCCCCTCACCCTTAATCGATAGATCAAAGGGCAGATGGCCCTTTCCTTACTCCTGATTCTTTTAGTGCGATGCCTACTATAGTTTTCTTTCTCTATTGACTACTTTATTGAGCTTTGTTTTTTTGGTGGCTGTTTTTTTGTTCTTGTTGGATTGGTTAGTTTGTGTCTGGGGTTTTTTGGCGCGGGTGTTGGGGGTGTTTGTTTTTTTTGTGGTGGGGTGTGGGGGCGTGGTGCGGGCGGGGGGGGTTGCGTGGGTGGTGTGTTTTGTTTTTTTTTTTTTTTTTTGTGTTTTTGTGTGTGTGTGTGTGTGTGCAGTCTGTTCGTGTGTTTTGTTGTGTGTGTGTGTGTGTGTGGTTGTATGTTTTGCTTTTGTGTGGTGGGCGTGGGCGTGGGGGGAGGGGTGGTGTTTTGTTTGGTTTTGTGTTTTTGTTGGGTGTGGTGTTTGGCGGTCTTTGTCGGGTGGGGGGGGGTGGTGTTGTTGGCTTTTTTTTTTTTTTTTGTTTTTTTTTTTTTTTTTTTTGTTTTTTTTTTGTGTGTTTTTGTTTTTTTGTGTTTTTTGTGTGTGTGTGTGTGTGTGTGTTCTGTGTGTTTGTTGTGTGTTTTGTTTTTTGTGTGTGGTGGTTTTTGGTTGTTTTTGTTTTTTTTTTTGGTGGGTGTGGGTGTTGTTTATGTTGTTGGTGTGGTTTTTGGTGGGTTTGGTTGTGGGCGGTTTCGTTTTTTTGTTTGTTCTTGTTTGGATTGTTGATTGTCTGCGAGTTGGTTTTCTGTTTGTCTTATTTGGAGTCATTCATATTGGGGGTGGTTCTTGTATTTTTAGGGCGTGCGTTTGTGTTTTATGGGGGTTTTTTTTTGGGGGGTTTGTAGTAGGTGTACTGTTAGTGTTGTTTTGTATTGGCCGTCGTACTTTTCTTTTCTCTGTGTCTGTGTGTGGTTTTTGTTGTGTCTGTGGTGCTTGTTTGTGCCTCTCTGCAGGTGTTGTGTGTGAGGTGAATTTTGTCGTCTGTGAAGGGGCCTCTTTTGAGTTATGCTGTTGTCCGTGGCGTGGATGTGTCCTTGTGGTTTTTTTGGTTGGGACGATGACATGAGAGACTTAGAGTTAAAGCTGAAAGACACCAGGAACTCAACCTCGTCCACCCGGCTCACGCTGCATCCGTGGCTGCTGTTACACTGGATGTGCGCGTCCACAGGACATTCCTAACCGGCGTTAAACAAATTCCCCATCCCTCGAGTTCTGAATGAACAGCTGATCACAAAAACATGGAATATTGGGAATCAAACAACAAAACAAACCCTGTGTGCTGCTCCGTGACCAGCAGCCCAACCCCACCTTCACCTCCTCCACCCGGGGCACCTCAACGCACCTTTCAGTTTTTTATTTATTTATTCCAAACATGAGTCTATATATTGAACATCAGAGGGCGGCACCCCTCCTACAGTCACCCCACAAGTCAATATCAATAATAATAATAATGATAACAAGAGAATCAATAATGTCCTGCTGATCTGAGGGGAAAACATCAGGAAACACACACATGACACACACGCACACACGCACACACACACATACACACGCACACACGCACACGGACGACGGCTGGCACTGCGCACGCGCACGCGCACAGCACGCCACAACGCAACACGCCCCGCACACACACACCACACACAATAATGTCCTGCTGATCTGAGGGGAAAACATCAGGAAACACACACATGCACGCACACGCACACACACACGCACTCTCTCTTCAGCTGCTGCTTCACTTCCTGCATGTCAACAAACTATAATTATATATTTTGTAATTGTAACTTTATATTTTCTTTTTTACAAAAA